TTTGCCCGCCAAATTGGCAATGAATCTCCTTAAGAAGTTGATTTTACCTAGCAATCTCTGAAGCTGTACTTTGTTGGTAGGTGGAAGTGACTCTAATATTGCTCGAGACTTATTTTTGTCCACCTCCACACCTCTCTGATGCACCAAGAATCCCAAAAAATTGCCCGCTCTTACTCCAAAAGCGCATTTCTTTGGATTCATCTTCAACTTGTGGATCCGCATCCTCATCAATGCTTGCTTGAGGTCCACGAGATGCTGCTCTTCTGTCTTAGATTTCACCACAATGTCATCGATATACACCTCCATGCTTTGGCCAATTAAATCATGAAAAATGGCATTCATTGCCCTTTGATACGTGGCGCCTGCATTTTTGAGCCCGAATGGCATGACCAGATATTCATATGCCCCCACATGACCAGGACATCTAAAAGCTGTCTTATGAATATCCTCTCTGGCGCCATCTTTATTTGATTGTAACCGGCATTTCCATCCATAAACGATAAAACTTTATGCTTTGCTACAGCATCTATGGATAAGTCAGCCATGGGCATGGGATATTCATCCTTTGGTGTGGCGCTATTAATATTCCTATAATCAACACAACACCGTACTGCTTTTGTTATAGCTTTTAAAACGGGTACAATGTTGGCTAGCCACTCTACATATTTAGCTGGTCTAATAAAGCCAGCTTTCACCAGCCTTTCAATTTCTTCTTTGACTTTTTCTTCTATCTCCTTTGACATCCTTCGTGGTGCCTGCTTGACAGGTTTATATCCTTCCTTGATGGGCATTCTATGTTCCACCAAGGCTGGGTCTAATCCTGGCATCTCGGTGTAATGCCAAGCAAAACAATCTTTGAATTCTTGCAAAAGAGAGATAATCTTGGCCCGATCCTCAATCCTTAATAAACCGCTGATTTGAATTGGTCTCGGATCCTCTTCTGTGCCTAGATCAATAACTTCCAATGGATCCTGGACTTCTGGAGGTGGCTTATCAGGTTCTGCACACAAAAATTCAACTAACTCCGGGTTCTCGAGTAGACCGTCTGGCTCGTCTATATCGTAGACGCATTCGGCCATTTGAATGGCCTTATCTAACTCCTCTGTGCAAGATTCTTCCTCATTTTCCTGCTGGCTGGTAGAAACTTTCCCCTGCCACTCCTGCTCTTCTTTATCCAAGAGCTTTTCTTCCTGTCTTCTTCCCTTTCCATACACCAACAGTCTTTTAATCAGGGATCTGACTGCCATGACCTGATCTTTCTTCTTTTGTTCGATCATTAATGGTATAGAGAGTTTGGTATAAGACAGGGTCTCTCCCACTCCTCCTTGGTAAGGAGCATCCCTTGTTCTAGAAGCTTTCGGGCCGTCACCTTGGTAGGGCGGCCGTTCTCATCAGCTCCTAAACATTTCAAAATTCCTACGTTGGGATTGTAGAAATTTGCTTCTGCAACATTAGCTGAGGGGAGGAACGGCCGTGATTCGGCCTCTACCAACTCCCAAAAGCTTGATCCTTCAGTACTTGCCTCGTGGTATACAGCCACTTGTTGATGAAGAGTAGAAGGTATGGCTAAACTTTGATGAATCCAATCTCTTCCAAGTAGGGCCCCGTAAGTGGAAGTGCAGTCTACTACAAAGAACGCCAACATTATTTTCTTGGACCCCAGATCTACCTCCAAAGGTAATATCCCATGAGTCCTGGTGATGGCACCTGAAAAGCTCGAGACTGTAAGGTTTGTGGGAATAAGATCTTCAGTGCTTCTCCCCATCCTCTTCATCTGCTTGGCTGGCAATATGTTAACAGCCGCTCCTCCATCAATCAAAATTCTTTTGAAAGGTACACCTTCCAGATGAGCTGAAACGTATATAGGCTTCAGGTGGTTGGCCAACGAAATACTTGGGTGGCTGAACACCATTTTATCTGTGTAAATCCGTAGGGGACCACCTTTAGGTACTTTTGAGGATTCAACCTTGCCTGAGTCTTCCTCTGTAACTACCTCCACATTGACGTGAGCCATCATCGACTCAGTTGTTAAATAATCACCTTCCATGGTAGCGGGCTGGTCAGGCCTGGCGCCAAACATGGCGGATAACACATACGTCATGTTGATGTGGAAGTTGCTGGGTTCGAGCAAGTCCTCCTTCTTGCTCCCAATGTGATCCATGAACTCGTCTAACCAGGCCATTGCATCGGCTGGTAGTAAGGGCTCTGGTATCCCTTCCTGTTGTGGTTGATTCATGTCTCCGTACAGCGCTTGCTTTGGAACTTCACCAAACGGATCCAAAGGCAAAAAGGTTGGTCTCCTCTCAGATGCAACAGTTTCCTCATGGGTGGGCCCTGGCCTCCAACCAGGTGTTGGCATCATAGTCAGATCTTCCTGAGCCCTTCTTAAGATCCTATACTTGCCAGGATGTTGGCTTTGTGGCACATGATTCCCCATACCCTCCGTCTTGCCGTTGGCCCTTTCTACTTCCTTCTTACTTCGCCAACGAAGCTGACTACTACTTCCAGATGTTGCCCTCTCTGGCTTTTGATTTTTTGAGGCTTCAGAGGTGATGGGGGTCATCAGGGAATTCATGTAGGCTTTGTGCTGCCTTTGAACCCTTCTGACCATGGATGCTCCCATTGGTTTGGTGGGCTGCCCATCTTTTCCAACTACATACCATTTCCGCCCACGATATGCAGGAGTTGCTTTCTTAACAGGATTAGCTATCCCATCAGTTCTTCTGACTTCCTTCCCCTTTTGGCCATTTTGAAGCTGCTCTGTACTTCTTTGGAGTTTGGCTTCCATGTCCTCTGCCTCGTCAGAAACTTCATAGTTTCGAAATACTTCTGACAACGCCTTGGGTTGGGAATCACCTCCTAAACGTTGAAAAACGCTTCGGGAAGTATTTTTTCTTGTTGCCTGCTTAATCCTTTCGCGGGTTTCTCTTTTAATTAACTCGTGATCAATAAGGACTCCAGCTGGGGGAATCTCGAGTTCACATTCACACTGGCATTTACTACACATAACCAGCCCTTTGATTATGGCAGCCTTTGGGTACTCGGATGGTTTGCCTATCCCTTCCGTAGGTCGTTTGGCTAGTTTCCCTTCTTCTTCTTCCCTTATAATTTTCCCTTTTCCTTTCTCTGCCCAGGTCATGTTGAGCATGTTTACCGGGGCTTCAGAAAAGGGCAACACAGGGTTGACTATGACTACCTCATCTGGTTGGGTAGTCCTGTGTCTTTCTCCTTTAGGAGGAGCCAAACCTGTCTCATTTCTAGAGCCTAGGGAGGCTTCATTCAGTCTCTGTAGCATTTGAAACAATGTATTCTGTAAATCTTCTGGCATGTTTATCTTTATCTTCAGATCAGAGGATCCCACCGGGCGTGCCAAAACTATGTTCGTCGCAGGAATCTCCTGGCGGACGAGCACACAGCTCCCCTGGGAGAATGGCGTCGGTTGAGGGTATCTGTCGTACTTCTGCTTTCTTCTCGGGCTCGTTCGGGCAAGCCTTTGTCGGGCAGATCTTGGTCGGGCAAGACACACTTCGGGCAAGGCTCGTCGGGCAGTTCTGAAAAAGAAGGACAGAGTTAATTTGAAAGGGTGCCTTTGTGGGGCCTTAGGTGTAGGCCTTAAGGCTCACAATCAAGATTAACTTTGTCGTGCTCAGGCGTGCCACTGCCATCTTCAGTATGGCAGATGTTGAATGGGTGTTAAGCTTTGATTGAATATGTATACGCCCGAGAAACCAAGTTAGATATAACATGTGCCTTTGTGGGGCCTTAGGTATAGGCCTTGAGGCTTCCTGTCAAACTAAACCAGCGCTTGGGTGTATCATATTTGGTCTTTTATGGTTGCCAGAGTTTTATCACTATTATACCTTTTGATTATCTGAATCCAAAGAGGTAGGACGAACCCAAATGAGTGCCTTTGTAGGGCCTTAGGTATAGGCCTTGAGGCTTCCCATCAGAGTTAATCCTTATACTCGGACCAACTAGACCGCAACATGAAATGAAGCTAAATAGATGCCTTCGTGGGGCCTTAGGTGTAGGCCTTGAGGCTTTCTATCAGAATTCACTCCATGCTTAAGCCTTTTCTACGAATCAAGATATAATAGCAACAAAACGGAGAAATAGATTGATTACTTGCGCCCCAAGTAACTTCGGACTTCTCGCTTATCAAGGATTGTCGTGGATGGGTTGAGTCCACATAGAGTTCTTTTTTATGCCTTGAGGCCAAGGACTTTTAAAACTGATCTTTAAATTACATGCCCGCCGGGCTTAAGACTTAGATCTGATTTGAACTCTGACGCGATTCAGATCGGATTCAAGTGCTGAAGACTCATTTTCATTATGACTTTGCTAGAAATAACTTGTATATAACTGGGAATATATATAACATGTTATTGTGCTTTTAAAAGAAAGAAAAGACAAAGACAGAGCAAAGATAGTCGGGTAAGTTTGAACCTTATCGGCCAAGGCTGAACTTCTTACAAAATCTATCTTTGTGGCTCTGTCAGAGGTCTGAAAGCTTTTAGAGGGGTTGACGGGGGAGAAGAGGATACAAAATGAATCGATACCACCATGAACAAGGTAGCAGAGCTATTACAGGGGTTTGGGAAGGTTTATCCCGAATGGGATGAAGGCTTGTGCTGACTACAGCTTCGTTGAAGGCAAATCTGGCTTGAGCAGAGTTTTGGCTTTTGTTTGTTTGTTTGAGTGTCCCTAATTCTGTCTTCTCTTCCTCCTTTTATAGACGACTTCAGCTTGGGTTCCTGTAGCAATAGCGGTGCCCGAATGCGGTTTGGTGATGACTCACTAGCTTTTTTACATGAATGCCACCAATAAAGTACTTTATTGGGCTGTGTAGTGACTGAATAGCCTACCCTCTGTGGTCTTTGAGCAGGTAAGCAGGTGGCCTTTGTAACTTGTGCCCAGCCGAAAGCCTCTTTCCTGCCTCCTAAGTTTTCCTCTGGGCCTTGGGTTTGGGCCGACTTTCTCTCTGGCCCAAAGTTCAGATTTTATCCCAAACACCACCGATTAACCCTACTCATAGGGGGCAGCTCTATAGAATAAAGCAGGGTCCAAGATCCATGTTCCTTCATAATCCAAGCATCCATGGTGCGCAAACGACGAAAAATACATTGAGAGTCTCCCAAGACCTCTAACTGCACATTCTCATCAACCGGGGTGGGAAACCAGTGATATTTCTCGGTGGCAAGCTCAAAGGTCACAACATGCATTTTTCTATCTAACATGTTCTGTGCCAGCCAACTTAGAGCACCGTTCGAAAACAGGATCCGACTTACAATCATATGAAACTCATCGCAAGGCATGTTTCTTATCTTTCTCCATGAGTTGGATTTTAGGCTATAAATTTGACATTGATGCACAGCCTCATTAAAATTCGCAATTCCCAAAAGTTTATAGTCACCATTTGTTGAATCATACCCGAATCCATAGCCTAGGTACACATGTATATCTGGTGATGGAGACTGCTCAAACGTTGGGGAGGGAATCTTTTTGAACTTTCGAATTGACGGATTCCACAAAACAAAATCGTCCTCGTACAGCCCGGTGCGAATGCAAATTATCCCATTGGATGAGACCAACGCGGAAGGAAAAGGAGTCCGGCTTTCTGCGTCTTGCAGTGGCGGCTGCTCGATTTTCATGGCTCGTTCTATAGTACCGTCGTCGTAAATATCAGAGAACTTGAACGAACATTTATTGCAAGGAAAAGTTGCAGATACAAAAAGAGAGCCAAATGAATTGGTTTGGATGGAGCGTTGGAGATGGGATTTGATGAAGGTTTTGTCATGGATGGTAGCATTCCAAGCTTTGGAAACACATAAACATCGCAACAAGTCCTCAGGCGGGAGCCGCAAAAGGATTTCAAAGAGTAACTCCGGTGGGAACTCCCGCATGGTAAAGCTTGCAGAATTTCTGTAGGTTTAGGGTTAGGCGTCACTTGTGCGTGGGTTTTTATGGTTTGGGTTGGCTTCCACCAATTCCTCGAGTTTTGGGACAAGCAGGCCTCCAGACTTGCATACGTTATTATTTTTTGGCTTAAATGTTAAAATGGTCTCTGTTTGAGTCATCAGGTAAATTTAGTCTCTGTGTTTTTAATTTGGTCAATTTGGTTATTGTATTTATCTCCGTTAGCCCATTAAAGACATTTTCATCTAATATCCGTAAAAAATTCATAAATTATTATAAACTTAGTTATTAAATTATTTATTTGATTTAAAGTATTTAAAAATAAATAAAATTAAAAAAAAATTATTCTCCTCCCAACTCTCTGACTTCCTTCCTAACGTTACTTGCCTCTCTTTTCTATGTCATAACCTTAATAATTTTTCAAATTGGAAGTTTTTTTTCTTCTTATATGTGTTATTTCTCATTAATTTGCATTTTTATGTAAAGAGAAAGGGTAATTATATCTCTTATGATTTTTCTTATGAATTTTTTAACAGAGATTAAAAGAAATGTCCTTAGTTGGCTAACAAAGATAAACACAATGACTAAGTTGGTCAAATTGACAACACGGAGACTAAATTGACCATATGGCTATAACATAGGGACCATTTGACATTTAAGCCTTTTTTTAGGTGTTATCTAGACTAAGAGGGAGAGGATAAATTAAACCTCGCAATAGGCAAGTAATAATGTGGTTTAAATTCGTATTTGGCGAGATATCAAACCTAAGACCTCTCACTTATAAATGAAAAACATATTAATAAACCGTAATACTAAGTGACCATGTTATTGTACTTTAATTGCTTACGTAAATTTCTCTTCAACCTCTCTGGGTAAGGCCCAATGAAAACATATAATATTATTATAACCAGGAGGATCCTCGCTGGATCATCTTTGTGAGAATTCCGAACATCTTCCAATCACATCTGTTCATCGTGCGAAGGATCCCCATGATCCTCATAAAGAGGATCCGGTGAGGAGCTCACTCTTATTATAAAGGGGTAGTCCAAATTAATATTATTATATAGAAAAATATTTTTGTTGAACTAATTTCCATGAAAAAGACAAAACTGCATTACACCTAAGAGGTTTGAGAGAGATTTTTAGTGTGCCAGGAACAAATACCGGTATAATAATTGTAATAGTACAATTGATTAGAAACATAAAAAAAAAAAAAAAAAAATTCAACTATTTGTATATGACACTTGACACATCAAGCCAATGTCCAGCCCAGTAAAATATTTCTTGAGGTTTGGGAATGCTTATCAAAATGAGCCAAGACGACCTCTCGATTTAAGCCTTCTGTTTGTTTTGACTGTTTTAGATACTGTTAAATTGATGCTATGAGATCCATTTGGTGCTGAAGGTACGAAAGAATCTCAGTTCAGCTCTGGATTTATTTTCGCCATCTGAACGTACAAATTTCTTACAAGCCGAAGAGAGGCGGAGAGACGGATCCAATGTGCACAGGCTCCCACCCTTCGTACAAGAAAATATTACTTACAGAGGTCTCAAGTATTGCCTTGAATATGTTTAAAGGAAACACACCAGCTAATCTTATGACACTAAGTCTTGCAACATGATATGTATATGCATGCAACCAGTTTTACAGAGCACAATGATTTACAGGACGCTCCCCATCGGTAATGATTGATGTCCGAAGGCTGAAGCTCCACGAACGCTAAGACATCGAAAGAAAATCTCCATGTTACCAGTAAATCCTTACATCCATTTATGAGAAATGTATTAAATTATTAACAAGCATGGGAGAGATGATGGAAGGAATTATACCCTTATCGAATTCTGAGGCGCAAGGACTTCCTCAGAGAGAAGCTTCAACCTTCATAGTTCCACCATGCGCTGGTGCCGGACCATTGTTAGATGCGTCTTCCGAGGTATCCATCAGAGGACTATTTTTAAACTGGTCCACAGAACCGGGATCAGCCGATGGGCAACAACTTACAGATCCTTGGCGAGGAAAGCACTGCTTGATCTTCACCCTGTCAGGAAAGCATTCATTTGACAAGTTCACTAAGCCCGCTGTTTTGTGTTCACATGGCAACTTGGTAGAAATAGGTGATTCAGACGCGTCGGATTTTTTTCCTGATGAATCCAAAGGTCTATGGAAGAGCAAATGAGCCACGGTTCGATCTATGGGATTGGTCTCTGTTTCCAAATCCAGTATCCTACCAAACCTACAATACCATAGGATTAACAGGAAAAGTGAGTGAAGAAACAATCACTAAAAACGAAATGTTTCTTAGCCCTAACCCAAATATAAAATTGACCGCAGTTTGTACACCACAAATAGATAGAGCAAAACAAAAGCTCGAACATTCAGCAATACATAGGCTATTGAGTATAGTCAAGAAGACGTAATACATGAAGAACCGGAGTAGCTGTGAGTGTCTGTAGAAAGTTAATAGAAGATAAGAAATATATACAGCATAAGGTAGTTTTCTTTATAAAATTTCCATGGACCAACCGACCATTCCACCTTTGTCTCTGTACAAGAACCTGGCTGACCATTCCCCTTTGGTGAAAATGTGAGTATTCAACACAATATCAATTGGCAATGTGGAGTCCAAAGATTTTTTTTAGCATTTAGATTGCATCCTTCGATATGAGATATTCTCAACACACAACCTCACATGGACCATTTTTATGGTTGACGTGGCATATGTGGGACTATGGAGTATGCCAGGGACTGTATTAAAATATGAGCATCCAAGCCAAAAACAGTTGGCATGGAGAGGCCCAAGATCTTTTAAGCACGTAGGCAAGAGTTCCATCTTTCGATGTGGGATGTGTAAAATCCATGAAGGCATTCAGCATACAAAGGATAACCAACACTTGCAAAATGAAAATGTAAAAAAAAAAAACCTATGAGAACAAAGAAAGCTTTTTAACCTGTTATGACTATTGATTTCATCCCTTGCAACGACTTCATCCTCATCCTTGCTAATTTTGTTTGAACTGCTAGTATCACTATTATAATGCCTCTGCACTGCACTTTGAGCCAACCGGAACAAGCTATCCCGTATGCAAAGCCTTATTTTGATGTCCAACTGTAGTAAAACATTGTTTTTCGGTTGTAACTAAATCCAAGTTATCTTACCAGGAAGAGAATCTACTTTGAAAGTGAGCATACCTTTGATACAATATCTTGAAGCCTATAAAGTATTGTATCCTCCGCTGAGTGATCATCAACTGCTGCAGAAACTATATTGGAATCATCTTGTTCTATGGATGAGTTTGGGTCCAGAGAAGGAAGAGTACTTAAGCCTTCAACTTCCAGATCAGCTCTCTCAAAGTGCTGAATTTGATTTTCCTGCGGACATTTTTGAGAGCTAGACTGAGTGGTACTAGAGATTTGATGACTAAGTTGTTGCTGTTGCTTCTGAATGGCAAGCATTGCCTGTAGTTGCTGCCGCCTCCTTAACTTTTCAATTTTTTCTTGAGGAGACATGGTTAGCGGCTTTGCAGAAGTATCTAATGACTTGTTTATAGTATTTGCCTTTCCAGAAGAAACTTCACAACCAGAAAACAAATTTTGATGCTTAAATTCCCCAGGCAGAATGTGAGATGACACATGCATAGATGGATTAGTGAGGTTCCCATACATAGACTGGGCCACACTTTGGTTTGAGATATGCTGGTAGGGTAAAGACTCCTGGTAGGGTAAAGACTCGGGTCCTTGAAGCTGTCTCTTCTGACTGAGAGCTGCAGAAGGGGAAGATTGTAGCATGAAGTGTTCCGATTGGTTTTCAAAATGTCCAGAAGGGGTTCTTGATGAAGGCCAAGTACCATAAAAATCTTGCACTGATTTCTCCTCATTTTTTTCCTCCAACTTTTTACGACACCTCATTAACTTTTTCTGCCTAGAAACCTGCATGTATGAAGGGAAAAACACTATAAACCATTTGAACGATGAATAAATACAAACTATAACAGTAGTTTGACACGTCGTCATCAGTAAAGATTTTTCTTTCCTCGAGGAAATTATGGTGTCAAAGGAAATGTTCAAAATATTACATAACCGCATGAATCCATAGAAGAAATAAAATATATCTTTATAGTCGGACGGATAATTAGAATGATTATGACATTTCTACAATTGATGTTAAGTACATCATTCTCTCTGAATGCGAGTCAATGAAATGTGAAAGTAGTACAATTCGATCTACATAGCAAGTAAAAGATTAATGATAGTACTCTAACTACCGCTGGCACCTAGGTTCTAAGGGAAAAACTCTGAAAAACACGATATAAGAAGAAAACAACCATACTTTGACTAAGGATAACCAGGCTATGGACACTGCGCCTCTATAACAATTTGGTTACTAGTTACTCTGCCTCCCTGCTAAACAGACTTTCATTACAAAAAATTGACACTCCGTTTACTTTTTACCAACATTCATAACTGATTTGCCTCATCACGGGACCTTGACATATCAGAACATAAGAGTAATAAAAAGAAAAAAAGTGGCAGTACCTTATCAGCTATTTCATTTGGGGAAGAAGAATTTTCAGCATTCAGGTAAGGATTTGTCAAAGTGCTTTTGCCCGTGTCCATATCTGACTGTGAAAGTCAAATACAATTATGAGATCACTTGGCTTGCTTAATTAGGTGAAAGACATGACTATGCTATGGACTAATCATGTTTAGATTAACTCTTACCTGTTCCTTGTCCACGGGCTTACTTTTACCTGCAGCATATTCTACTTGATCAAGTGTGGCATGCACATTCCGCAGACCATGACCTGTAGAATAATCCATCTTCCCATAGCCTGGGATGATCGACTGGTCATCTTTCTGGATATAGTCTGATTTAATTTCCAAATGCTCAGAAGCATTCGTTACCGCACCTGATGTGAAACTCCGTGAATCTGAAGATACAGGAAAGGCTTTGATTGGACTGTTAGTTGCATCTCTAGAAGACCATAGCTCTTCAGCATTACCAAGACTTACGTTGCCAAATATAGTGTCATCATTGCTGCAAAATCATTAATTGTTTGAGACTACAGAGTTGGATGGATACTATTAATAGTATTTTAAAAAAAAATGGAAAGTAGAATAATCTATGTAGAGGAATGGAGAGAGGAGTATCATAACTTATTAATATTTATTTCATGGTCAGAAATTCTAATGTAATTTACTACTGTGTATTTTGCATATGGTGTACTTTCAGTTTGTGAACTTGTACATCAGCGGAAAAGGAAAAATGAGGTACTTGAAAGGAAAAAGGCCACAACCGTCGCGGAACAAACCTAATTTTTTTAGGCATGGGTGTTTAGAAACTACTGAGAAATAATGAAACTACACAATTAGTTTTCATTTAATTAGTTCTGCAGATCGTGCCAGCTTGTCAAATCTGAAAAGAATAAGAATGCGCTGCAATTTTTGTGAAAGAAAAAAAAATCATTTATGTCAGAATGTTCTTGAGTCAAATATGCTCCGTTAACAATTAAAAAATGATGTCATTATAAATTACCTGAAAATCTGGTCAAGATCATCAAAACTTCCAATGTTAGCCCATCCGTAGTCAACAAGATCACCTTGTTCTTTACCTTCATTGGAGTTTTGAAAAATTTCACCATCTTTATCAAGTTGGATTCCCTCAGCTGTTAAAAAGGGTCAACATTTTATAAGAACCACAAATATTGTAAAAACCAGCAGAATAAGATATAAGATGGACGAAAAATTCATCACTTCTATACAAGAAACGGTAGAGACAACAGTCCCCTTCCCCAACACAACAAATAAGGAGCTGCATTAACAGGGATTCCTTTATAATGCTTTGACAGCAGACACCGTCAAGAAGCTAAAGGTTTATCCTACCAATTTAACTCCACATCCTCCCCTCTGTCCTCAAAGAGCCTCATGTTCTGTTCTGACCTAACACTCCACATGAGAGAAAAATCAGCACTTCTCTAGACTGAGCACCATTTTGCTATCCTCCTTCTGCCCAACTACCCTCCAACAATGATAAAAAAAAGCTCCTTGGACCACTCACAAGTCACAAAAATAAAAACACCACCAACATGCAAGCCCAAATCTACCTAGTGAGTCAATGTAGAAAAATGTAGTCATAAGGCCTTCTTCTTTGGAACAATTTATTTCTAATATCACTCCTCTAGCTCAGTCCGATACCTAGACTCCTTCCTCATCTAACAAATCAATCTCCTTAGTCATGCTCAAAATTGTGTTATTTAACTCACATCACCAGAAATTTTCTTATTACACACTTTCAGCTTGTTAAGCTCATTGCAATTTCTTTAGAAACTTAAAACCTTCTTTCAAAACAACTTCAAACCTTTCCATCCCTGAACTGAACACTCCAGCCACCATCTTTCAAAACAACCCCTGAAAGACTTATGTTGCAACCACTAATCATCAAATATAATCTGACAAGACGAATCCACCAGAACAGTATAACGGTTAGTCCAAAAACTAGGGTTGTCGTCCAACATCCAGCTACTCCCCCTCCCAATCAAGTGCAAAAATGAATCTGTACAACTTAGAAACCAAACCTGTCATTAAAATTGGACAAGCAGATTGATTGTCCTGTAAGACCTACAGAAACTTCTCTGCCTCCCTAATCAGCCTGTCAAAAAACTTAATACTTCTACTCGCTTCTCCAATAATCATGTAGCAAACCATGCAGGTTCTATTGAACAACCAAAGGAAATGTGAGAGTGGGGATGTATGTATGCAGGCACAATTTATAGCTATTTGCTTATCATGGTGCTATTTAGCTTCTTTGTCATTTTTAGAAAGACCACATCCCACATTTTTTTTTTCATTGAATACAAGTTCATGTTTTTGGCTTCTAACTTCATTTTGTTGATCTTGCAAGTTAAAGACACACGGAAATCACCATGAATGTTGTTTAAAGCATATATTCTACCAACATTATGCCACATCAACTCAATTAAAATCTCATATTAAACAATTGCACCACACTATCAATAATATTGGAATTTCGAGCAGTTCGATGAAATTGGGTTTTTCAGGTGATTTAACAAGTTAATCAGAGATAGTCTAATTGTGTTCACAACTTCACAGAAAAAAACTAATGGAAAGATTGACGTCCCAGAAAATAACAACACTTAACTAAAAAAGACTCAGCATTTAATAAACTATAAAGGTCCTATAAAGAATAGAAGGACCAGTAGTAAATGGAGCTGAGATAAAGACTAACTTTTCAATAGGATACATGAAGCATAACAAATTAACCTAAGCCTGAATAAAAATAATTGATGTCCATCGTCAACCAGAAATGTACATGGGTTAACTGACACTCAATTATCAATCCCCTATGACGGTCTCTTTGTGTGTTAGTTTGTCAGTGTTTGTTTCTCCAACATCTTATCCAAACTAAAGATGCATTATGATTAAAATATAGATAAATAAATAAATCTTAATTGAAGGTGATAATTTCAGTTAAGTTGTTGTTAGGTGCTTCAGTACCTGTGCAATGTTGTTCACTTTTTGCAACATTAGATAATGATAAATCAGGCCACGAGTCCATTCCAAATTCAGAGGTAGAAATTCCTTCACCCGTATCAAAATTGGAACTGTTTTCCAACTTTCTGTCTTGCAAGTCAATTTTGGACCCATGGATCTTCTGTTTGGTAGGCTTGATGGTGTGAGACTCTTGTTTCCATTCCTTCTTGTTGTAATAATCATCACTTGCCTCGTTATAAGGCACAATATGATCATCACTCTCACCTGCCTCACCCCATATTATGTTTGCAAGCTGAAAGAATAAAAGAACTTTAACATTAGCATTAGGGCATGCCAAGAACAATATTTAAATAGTATCGTTGAAAAGTTGGTATAAACTACTTAAAAGATCACTGAAAGTAATAGAAGAAGATTCTGTCAGCTCAGTGGCTTATCACTTCTTGAGATTGCATAAATATCAGAGATATAGAGACAAAATCAATAACTGCATGAGGATTAATGTGCACTCATTGGACAACCACAAATCTTGAAGCTTCTTGATCTTTTACAAATTTTGATCTTCGCAAATTTGAATGGAGAACAAAATGCTAACATTATCCAAGCACATTTGCATGAGAACCGTACTCATTGCATCCAAGCATTTATACACCTGATAAGCCTAGATCCCATTTCCCAAACATATGCCAATTCTGCAGTTCCACAATACAGCTTTCGTAGTTTTCATTGTTGTTTAGGTATTCTATAACTACCACAGTGTGTATAATAGCCTTCGAGACAGTGCTTTATAGCTTTCAAGACTAAGACTTTATTAGTATTTTTTTTTCCTTGTACCTTCTTCACTCTTATATTTTCCAGTTACAGTATAGAAACCCTAACGAAACACATTTTCCATAGAACTCCATATAACCCCTAAAGCTCAATATTTCCTGCATAACCTCCACTTAGAGCAACATCAATTCTGAAAATGTTGTTTATCAGGTCTTCATTTCATTTCACTTTAATGAACCCTAGTTCTGCCCGATTAAGGTTTCTTCGCCTTGCTTTCACTCCACCAAGGACCTATTTCACCATCATGTATAATCACCTTATCCCCTACTTTTGATGACTACGTGCTCGTATCCTCATACTAATAAGCAGTGACTCCAATACAAATTCAAATTGGCATTCCAAACACCTTAACAACATAACTGATATTCCGTCTGTTCAACAACTAAACCACCTTCGGAACTGTTTGTTCTTGGACTCTCTCCATTGTGCTTCAATCGTTTTACAAAAATATAGTCGAATATCTAATCAACTTATTTCGCAAATTTCTCACTGAGTTCAGAATTTACTAACAACCATTTCTTTATCTCGGTTTCTCATTGGCTAAATTGTAACACAAATTCAAGAAATATAACTATTTGACTCTTATTTTTGGTGAATAAACCCAAATTGATCACCAAAAACACACAGAAATTCACCTAAAATTCAACAACAGCAACGGAAACTCATATCTTTTCACTCAAAAACCAAAGAAAAATTCAAAAGTTTAATCATTTCACAATCAACGCAACAAATTTAAATGTTTTAATCTTATTGCTTAATAATCCAAAAAATATTGCGAAGAAGAAGATGAAGAAAAGGCACACCTCTTCGTCGTTCCAATCAAACATCTCTGAAGAAGCCACAGTTAATCGCAAAACCGAAACCGAATTCAGATCGACGCACACAGTTTGGTCCACACATCGCCAAGAAACTTCACACTGTCAGCATCCAATCAAACCTTCCAACACGCACAGAGCTGAAGAGAGAGACAGAGAGAGAGTGAAAGAGCAGAAGCACAGCCTCTCAGAGCTAGAGAGAGAGAGAGAGAGAGAGAGAGAGAGAGAGAGAGAGCCTTCGAGAGCATGGCAGAGAAGAGGAGTTGGATTTGTGGTGCGTGGACCCGAAGTCACGTGAGGCTCACGTGAACGGGTGAATTTTGGGGACACGGGTGACGGGAAGCGTATCTAAACTCGTGGTCAGAGAGAGGGGTGATCTAATGCTGCGACCTGATTGGCCGGAGGACTTTTCGAGGTCCGGTTTTTGCATTTGCACTTGCATTTCGGTCCGGTTTTAATTGTTTTAATTTGGTTTGTGGTGGAGGCTGGGTCTGGAGGTCGCTTTCCAAAGTGGGGCTGGATTGAACCGAAGCCACTATTTTTGCCCACTGGCTCTTTCGATTTTGGAGTGGGTGAGGTGGGTGGGTCATTGTGGGCTGGGATTTTAATTGGCTGATTTCGGGTTGTGATTCAAACAATATTGAAATTTCTATTTTAAGAAACACTCCATCTCTTCTTTTGTCAAATTCAACTTGCCCTTGCACTACTTTTAGCTTCATTTGTAACTGAAAGATTTTAAATTTGAATTTCGTAAATAATGAGTTTGTAACTAATTTATTATCCTAATCTTTTAAATATATCAATTTGTAAGAAATATATATATTTTTAAGTGGCGTTATTTGTTTATTTATTTATTTTTGACAGAAACAATAGAGTGTTTCATTATTAAGAACAACCAAATACAAGAAGTGTCATATGAGTACAATTTTAGTGGTGTTATGTATAGTATAAATGATTGTCATGTATTCAAATAGTAATTGATAATCCTATTAGATGGTACTCACGTTACACGAGTCTTTTCTTAGAGCGAGCATTTACCAATTGAATGGTTTTATTTCATAGTCCAACAAAAAAATAAAAAAATTGTTTTAAACTATAATAAATAACGTACCAAGAAATGATTTTGCATAGACCGCCGAATTTTTCATCTAAATTTGGTTTGAATTCGGTGTAGTTAACATAAATATATAATGTTTATCGATATTTACAATATGAGAATTTAATTATGATTTGAATCCGATATGTGCAAACCTAACAAACCAATTATTGATTTTGGTTGATCTGGTCCAATAATAACTCAATTTTAAGGAGCCATGTTAATTCCTTAAGGTCCCTTTTGTTACACATCTTTAAATGGGTCTAGCCTGATTGAATCATATCTCTACATTTTCATCATGGTAAGTGTGACTCACTGAGTTGTTACTTGCTGAGGTATTGGTCTCTGACCCCTTATCTATTTGAAATTTTGAATGATGCAAAATTGAAAATGTAATACATATGAATTCTGGTATGTTGGTTACTTGCTTAATATGAAATATGAGTGTGTTGAGATGTCATGATAGGATTTTTACCACCTGCAAAAGTAGAAGTAAAAACACTTAAAAATACTAGCAAGAGAACAAGGTAATTGTAGTATAAATGACTCAAGTAAGGTCGTTCTCCACATAAATTATCTGAAACCATTTATGTACAAATCAAATCTTAATTAATTACTTAAAACAAAGTTTAGAAAAAACTGATTTTAGAATTAAAAATAATAAAAACGAATTTTAATTAACAATTTTAAGGAAATCAATTTGAAAGTAAACGGTTTTTAAAAATCAAAATTTTAAAAGCACTAGGTTCCGCTGTCACCTTAACAATTCTATATGGTTTTGCCAATTACTTATGAATTACACATTCAACTTTGAAGATTAGGTTTTCTTAATACATATTCTACTTGTGGCATTCAAGATAGAACGTATATCAAACATGTAATCCGTCTGTGATATTTAGATCAACATGCATGACTCATTACGTTTTGTGAAAATCCTTTGAAAAACCATGAACCTTAAGACGTGGCATCTGCCCTAAGTGAAATTACAATTATTAACCATAAGAAGCATTCCTCAATTTCCGAATGGCATTCCAATAGAAATTGCATCCGATTACTTATTTAAACATCCTAATGATCAAGAAGCATTAGACACAAAGACAGTTTAAGCATAGTGATTAATAATTCAAAATATGGATGCACAATATCATAAACAATTGAATAAAAGACTACATATTCATGCTAAGGCTCATGGCCTTACCCTAGCAAAAGAGAATTAATTATGTAAAATCATAAAGCAAAATATCATTAAGAAAAGGATAGAAAACACCTTGTAAAATAAAGTTGAATCGTCAAAAGATCTCTAAGTCCAATTCTCCAAATTGATACGTAGAGGACCCTAATGGCTAGGTATCTACAAATTAAAATCTTTCATTGCAAAGATCTTCTAAAAATTAAGAAACAAAATAAATTAAAAGAAACTAGGAATTGTTGTAGCCTATTTTATCTAACATGATTAATGGGGCCGAAGACAAGGAGAAGAGAGAGTGAGAGAGATGTGTTTGTGGAATTGTAGGGGAATGTGTGTGTTATGCTTCCTACATAGTGCCTTTATTTATAGTAGTAAAATGAGAGAAAATATTCCTTCATCCCCAAGGAATACAAGATGTAGTAGGAAAAGATAATTAGAATCAAATCTAATTTAGGATTTACACAATCACACTTAAAAGGAATGTTTACAACACTCCCCCTTGAGTGTGTAAATACTCAAGGTAGATTCAGCATCATGCAGAAGTTGAGGAAGTCGACTCATCGACACTGATTCCAAGGAACAACACTTATTCTCAATAAAGGTAGGAACTTAAGTAAGTCTCACTAAAAAAACTCTAAGGCTATGGAAAAAAACCCGAGTAAGGACAAAATCCATAGTCTAAGGAAAAATGCGTGAGAAATGCAAAGTCAAAAGAAACGTCTATGGGACGTCATCAGGGATATGACCAGCCCAAGGTGGGTGCCTCGTTAAAACCTAATTAGGTAGCAAAAATTCAGTGGGAAAAATGCTCCTAATTGTAGGGAAAAATAATACATTAAGATCAAGCAAGTATCTTCAGGATACTCCAGTTTGACACATTTCCAAAGAGAAATAACAATGTTACAACTCAAAAAGTTTACGCATACCAATTCCATGAAAAGCTTCTGAAACGTCGTCCTCGACAGTGATTTGGTAAAGAGGTCGACCAGATTATCTTGTGAACGGATTTGCGTGACTTCAATCTTTTGATGCTTTTGTTGTTGATGTGAAAAGAATAACTTTGGCGCAATGTGCTTGGTGTTGTCTCATTTGATGTAACCCTTTTTGAGCTGTTTGATGTATGTTACGTTGTCTTTAAAGATCGTTGTCGGGACATCAACGACGGGATAAAGGTCGCAGGAGCTTCGAATATGGCCCACAACCACTCTCAACCAAAAGCATTCCCGAGTTGCTTCATGTAAGGCAAGAATTTCAGCATGGTTAGACAAAGTGGCAACTAAGGTCTGTTTTGGTGTATTACTACTGTATCTTGCCAAAAGATTAACAGCGAAGGAGATGTTGGGTCTAGTGCATTGAGCTAAGTATAATAAAATGCCTATCACACTTAGATAAGGAACTTCAGGCTCCAAAATCTCTTCATCATCCTCCTTCGGATGGAAGGGATCTTGTTTTGCATCTAGCTATCGAAAGACCATAGGAGTACTCAAATGCTTTGCTTTATCCTCATTAAAGCGGAGCAACACCTTCTGGGTGTAGTTCGATTGATGTACTAGGATTCCATCCGAACAATGCTCTACCTCGAGACCGAGACAGTATCGAGTCTTACCTAGATCTTTCATCTCAAATTCCGACTTTAGGTGCGCGACAGTTCTCACGAGCTCTTCAGGAGTTCCGATGAGGTTCATGTTATCGACATATACTGCAACAATCGCAATTCTGGAATGTGACTTCTTAATGAACACACAAGGGCATAGTTTGTTGTTCACATATCCCTGACTAGTCAAATACTTACTCAAACGGTTATACCACATTCTTCCAGATTGTCTCAAACCGTAGAGTGAACACCTCAGCCGAATTGAGAGCGTGTTCCGGGGTTTGGAAATATTTGAACTAGTTAATGTAAGTCCTTCAAGAACTTTCATATAAATTTCCATATCAAAATCCCTACAGAGATACGCAATTACTACGTCCATCAGCTGCATACTATGTTTTTCGGAAACTACCAAACTGATAAGGTAGCGAAAAGTAATCACATCCATAACGGGTGAGTAAGTTTCATCATAGTCAATCCCGGGGCGTTATGAGAAGCCTTGTGCAACAAGACGAGCTTTGTAACGCACAATTTCATTCTTTTCATTACGCTTCCAAACGAAAACCCACTTGTAGCCAATGGGGTTCATATGTGGAGGAGTATGAGCTACAGGTCCAAACACCTTACGTTTCGTAAGAGAATCAAGTTCAACTTGGATTTCTTGTTTCCATTTTAACTAGTCAGTTCTACGTCGACATTCATCAATGGAACGCAGTTCAATGTCATCGCTCAATATGATCTCAGTAGCTACTGCATATGCTAATGCATCGTCGACAATCATCTCATTTCTACACCACACATCATTTAAGTTAGCATAATAGACCAAAATCTCACGATTCTCAAGAGGGGAATTTGTTTCTTCAAGGACGTTTCCATAATCTAGAATTTCCTCATGAGTTGGATAGAATGAGTAAACGATAGTCGGATTCAAGGTAGGCTCTTCGGAACCTTGTGCCGTGGTTTTCCTCTTTCGGGGGTGTGAATCCTTTGAACCAAGAGGTCTACCACGTTTTTGTGTAGGGGCAGATGATTGTCTACCCACTGATGTACGTGGATCACCAAGATTGGCACCTCGGGCCTCCAAAAGGGAAGTTCGTCATACATTTTGTACATCCATCTTTGTAGGCGTATTCGCAGCTGGAATATGTGATCTTGTCACTCGCGCTAGATTGGTGAAAACATCTGGCATGCTCTGAGTTATGCTCTAGAGATCTAATATGCACTGCACTTCAGTTTCAGACTGAGCGGTGCGAAGATCTAAATGAGACAAGGTAGGAGTCGTCCACGATAGTTCGCGTCGTTCTTTAGGAACGGTGACGTTCTTATCTCCTTTAACGACGGGAAGACTGTCTCATATAA